CCCCTCCTTCCCTCAAGCGGCACAAGCACCGGTGCTGCAAAAGCAAGGGTTTGTTCATGAATAAAACTAAAGTAACTCTAAAGAGCAGTGTTATAACTCTATTCCCAGTTTTTGCATAGTCTCAGGATGGAAGAAGGCCTCACTCTCCACCGCACCACCCCGGTCGTACTCCCCACCTCCATCCCTCAGGAGTCCGTTCTGGATCCGCCTATGCTTAATAAAGGAATGCATCGTCCAAGTATGACTACCAGCAACAACTGAAGCATCCCTTTGTTAGGGATGCTGGAATCCCCACAAAAAACAACTCCAGACAAAAGAATTGTAGAAAAAATTGGAATTCTTGCAGAAAGCTACCAGCTTTGACGAAACCTGCTGAGAAGCCCGGAAACCTACGATATGAATGAGGAGGATAACAATGAATATTCCTAAATGACTGCCATAGGTAATTATTAGAGCTTCTGGTTTACCGAGAGCTTCTGTTACTTTAAAGCATTGAGAAGTTGTGCCCTGTGCGGAATTCAATTTTTGACAGTCCACTCTGTGAAAGCATGTCTCTGAGACTGAATGATGGGTAAAACAAATGAACTGTCACAAATTTACATCTGATCCAAGCGCACGCGAACACTCCTTGGGATTTGTACGAGGAAATAAAAAAATCTACTTAGTGAAGATGTTAGGGAAAAACAGGGGTCGTAAAAGAAACGTCACTGTGTGGGAGTGAATGGATCTCACATGTCCAGAGAAATGCGGAGGCAGTAGTGCAAAATACAGACATTCATATGATGATTTTTTTTTTTTCAAGCACTGAAAAACCTCGGAAGGAAGCATGCGAAAACAAGCATGACAATGAAACTACCATTCTCAGAGGCTCGCACTGCATTTCTTGCAGAGCACAGTTCAGGCACCAAAAATCGGAGGACCAGTGCAGTTAATGGAGGAGGCCCGAAACATCTTGAGAACTCCCAGCAGCAGGTTACATTTTGAGCAAACAAATACCAGGCAAAGTTACAAAGTTCTTTTCTGAGATGCGAAGCTATCGCGCGAGCTCAACAAACGAATTCCTAAAAGTACAGCGACAGATCCAAGTGCAGAAGCAGTGCTAAACTCTCACTCACGCTTGAGACTGTACTCGGAACCGGATAAGCATTAACAATGCATTCCACAACGCGAATCAGGAATGTAGCTGTTTTAAAAATCAAAGCTCAGGCAAAAAATGTTTTTTTAAAAAAGAAGCGGACTCTTTTTCGAGGGATCGCAACGGGGAAAGCAGGTGAATGCTGCCCCCAACAAGACCCTGTTCTCAGCAAAACATTTAGGCAATTTAATTCAAAGTGCATGCGGCCGCATTCCGAAAACAAACTCTGAATCACTTGCTCAAGTCCTCCTTCGTCTAGAATTACGATAAAAAATGTCGCATTAGCGATGTCTCAAGAGGCGCGATCATCTGCAGTGTCTTGTAAAAGTAGATAATCCCAAGGAAGGGGCTGCATTGTACTTGCACGACTACCAATCAATGATGATCCAATCACAAGTGAAAGTGAGTGGAATGGATGAAAAGAAGGAAAATGCAAACAAAATTTAAATAAGATAAAAGAATTTCGAGTTCTCCCGGCTGTCA